TTGGCTTACCAGACAGGGATCCAAAATGAAGTGAAGCTAAGTTTCCCAATACAGGCCCTGCTTACCTGTGCTTCTGAATCCTGCACTCTTGGGATTTGAGTGAAACTTAGTGGGTTTGTGGTGACTGAACTGTGGGGCTAGAAATGCGTCAACAACCTAAATAATCCCCCTAACAGTGCAGTCCCCCTTGAGTTCTCTGGGTTTTCATATTACAGCTGGCCGGAAAGACTAGGAGGCCTGGCTGCTGTGCGCTCAGGTCAAGAAGCATCACGTGGTGGGTGGTGGGCCTTGTCAGTACGTACGAGGACCTCTTTAACCCTAACGTCTGCCTACTGGGTACAACACAGATATTCACAACAGGAATATGACAGATTAGACAAGGAGGATTATGACTAGGCTCCATTTTATGAAATCAGTGATGTCCCTGTAAATCTGGTCATCAAGAAGATTTTGTTATTTACTGTCCCATCCCTTTGCTTCTTTTGTAAGTACCTTACAGATGTGTTTTTCTGACAACAACTTCTGTCCCAGGATGCTACAATCTCAAAAGGTTTACAAAGCAGAATATTATTTAACAGGAAAACTGCCAATTTATTTGATGATGTTTTAAGAAGAAAATACTTTGATAAATCATTTAAACAAAGCATGGAAAAAATACTTTCAATAAAAAGTAAAAGTAACAAAGAAACTAAGTTCAAAGATTTTCTTTTCCCATATGGCAGAATTAAGCTAGACAGTGTTACATAAATATGAATTCTAATTACTCTTCCAGTCACCCTTGGATTGTTATTTTTTTCTAAAAAAAAAAAAGCAGAACTTTCTTCATGCTCACCATGGAACACTGTGTCTCTAGAATGATAAGGATGGCTAGTTGCCCCTTGCGGGGAGGCTCATTAGAGCAGATCTGCTAATGACTCTTCAGAGCTGTTCACAGAACACAATCTAATTCTCAGCTATCTGTGGTCATGTCTTTTAGGGCAAAGTTTAGTGGGGGTTGGGTGGGGTTCGTGCTCACTCTGTCGTATACGTACTAATTAACCAGGCCTTTCCACTTTTCTTGTCAGAGGGAGACAAAGCAGAGTCCAGCAACCATTTATAATTGCGGGTTGAGAAAAGTAGTGGAGAATGTCGCAGCCTTCAGGTTTGCTGTCTGGCAGCAACAGATAGCACAGTGCATGGCTGCCCGGAGAGGGCAGTGAGGTGTGTGGTCCGCAAATGGGCAATGGCTGAGAAGCACTGGGGAGTTCTCCTGGGGCCTAGGTAGAGCTCACCCCTGACCACATCTCTCTGAAGGCTAGCTTTGCCTCTCCTCATTTCCTCACTGGCCTTTGGTTCAGTTTAGTAACCCCAAACAGGTAAAGCCATTTTCAATGCATCTATCTCATTGGCTTGTAGAAATCCAATGAAATTTGCTTCTACCTCTTCTATCATCTCGAGACTGCCTTAAAAATATGCATCAGTTTATTTTAAAGACTATGGTAAGCTTCTCTGAAGGGAACAGAGTTTGCGAAGAAAAGGACCGTGGCCACTTTTAGTTCTTAGACATCCGGGTTTGGGTATTCAGATATGTTCAACAGCTGACGAGCTAGAGCCTGTATTTAGACAGTCAGTAAGAAATCCTTACTGAGACATTATCTCTACTGTACATAAATTACGTTGACATTATCTGCCTCCAACTTGGTAGCATGTGTCTTACATGAATGGACTCCTTATCCATGTGCTCTAAACTTACTGTAACTCCTCTGAAGTGCTAGCAGCCCCAATTCAGATACTGTGAACTCTTTGCCTGGCAGCTAGCCATAGCTTGCAAACTGTTTTCTTTGCCTTAAAAAGTTTTTTTCCATTATCTGCTTTCATTGAAAACTTGCAAAACTTCGTATAATAAACCAGGGCTTGAAATTATGAATAAAGCTTCTATAAAAATTGTGTGCAGATTTGCAATGTTTTAGGTTTTCAGCGAACTAGGTACATTTCAAGGATTGCAATTGTTGGATCATACTTTGATTTACAAGAAACTGACAATCTGTCTTACAGAGTGCCTATAGCATTTTACATTCCTAACAAAAAATGAATGAGGGTTCTTATTGCTGCACATCCTTAGCACTAGTTGATGTTATTGGTCTTTTGAATTTTAGCCATTCTAGTCCATATGTAGTATATGTATAGATAAAATTTAAAGTTATTTTCTTCATGCTTGCTGAATAAGATTACAATATACATCCTAACTTACCAGAATCCATTTCTGATTTCTGATTTCTAGTGATATATACTCTATATGACATGGAGAAACTTTACTCCTACATAGACTTTGTAACTCTAATGTCTCCTTCATAGTGTAGTTTGATAGTCTCTCAAGTTGGGGTTGCATGGTGGGTTATTAAGGTGGAGAGATGGCTCACAATTAAGAGTACTTTATCCAGAGGAGCCAAATCCAGTTCCCAGCACTAACATAGGCTCCGGAGTAACCATTGCATTCATGATCATGCGCAAAAGGAAAGGATGTGGTATAAAGATAGATAAAATAGGAATTTGAAAAGGATAATTAAAATTTTCTTCTTGCTTATAGTTATATCATAAAATAGCTGGTAAATGCCTGAACTAAATATGAATTCTCTTGAGATATATGGCCAAGTTACAAAGCAAAAAATTCTAGGTTTAATAGCTCATTTTTAAAGTGAAGGTGTCGCCGGGCGATGGTGGTGCACTCCTTTAATCCCAGCACTCGGGAGGCAGAGGCAGGCGGATCTCTGTGAGTTCGAGACCAGCCTGGTCTACAAGAGCTAGTTCCAGGACAGGCTCCAAAGCCACAGAGAAACCCTGTCTCGAAAAACTAAATAAATAAATAAATAAATAAACAAATAAATAAATAAATAAAGTGAAGGTGTCTTTCAGAAGAGAAAGTAGGTGTTTAGATACCTGGTCATCTCAGTTACAGGTCTTTAAAAATAGGGGAAGGGAAAATAGTCAATAGATTTACAGTACCGCGTGTAAATTCCCTCCTGTGGAACAGGCCTCAAGTCTAATCAGAAAGTGGATTGGTTAGCTGTGTAACCTTAATGCCACTACTGCACTAGCAGACACATTCTGCCATGCAGGTCAGTATTATAGTATACAGAGTCCTAGTGCTGGATTAGACTGTTGGTGTCTTTTTCTCCCCAGCAGCTTTCATAGCTCCTTTTAACAACATGTAAGCTCAAAAGCAGCGAGAGGAAACGTGCATTTCCTGGCCACTTGAGGTTGATTTCTCTATGTCTTGTTTCCAAAGTGAGTGATGTCGCTAGCAAGAGGGTCTTACCATCTACTTAGGGTGCCTCTGGAGCCTCTTTGGCCGCTAACTTGCAGGACAGTATCCAGTGCCTAGCACCGAGGCTTTCATTTAATAATCCGGGCCTTCTGGGAGTAATCATCGTCCACCCGTGCAGGTTCCTTCTGCTTAGTCTCCTTCTGTATGTTATATTTGCGATTAACTTGTAAACTAGTGAATTTCTGTCAAATTTCTTCAGATATCCTTAGTTTGGATAGCCCACCCACGGTCGTCTTCTATCACCAATTCCTCTATCCACATTCAAACTTTTTTTAAAATAAATATTTATTTATTAATTATGTATACAATGTTCTGTCTGTGTGTATGCCTGCAGGCCAGAAGACCCCATTACAGATGGTTGTGAGCCACCATGTGGTTGCTGGGAATTGAACTCAGGACCTTTGGAAGAGCAGGCAATGCTCTTAACCTCTGAGCCATCTCTCCAGCCCCCCACATTCAAACTTTTAAGCTCAAGAAATCTCCCCTCTCCTTGCTCTCTCTGGCAAGCTCTCTGCACTGAGAAATATACCCTCCCAACACCTGTTTGCATAAGAATCTCAAATTCAAATGTTTGATGAAGTCACATGCTCTCATCTGAAGATGGCAGTGGCTACATGGTTCCAGCTAAGTGTTGCCATGCAAGAACGTAGGCCAACTTTTCCAGATGTTCTGCTTAAAAATAAATAAAAAGAAGTAAGTACCTGCATTTCTGGACATTTGTCTTTTAAACATTATCAATTAATTAAAAATGTTTAGGATAGACTAGTTAGGCTAAATAAAACACTTTGGCCACTTAATAGTAAATCCTCATTCTGATGAAGGTGATTTCACAGGGAAAAAAAAAGAAAAGAAAGAAAGAGCCTTGATTTGGTGAATTTAATTGTCTGGCTCTTTGTCCCATAATTTATAGGTTTGGTTCCCGATTAGTGTGAGTACTTCTGCAGTCTTTATGTCGGTTTGTTCTCTATAACATAACCAAGAGTGTCTTCAGCGGTGAAAATGATAAGTAGCCTCTGTATCCGGTAGGATCAGTCTGTTGTGCAATAAGTGGAAAATCATCGGCCAGAGCATGTGCTAAATAAAGAAAGTAATCAGAAGGTCATTGTCTTTTGGAGTCCTTTTCATGCTTGCTCTGTCACCATTTCATGAATCCCCTGAAGGCCTTGATAAGGAATTTATATTTGCTGCTAAAAATATTAGTAAGCTATTGGAGGCTTGTGATCAGTGAAGAGACACAATCTAACTTAATATGCTAAGAAGAATCCTCAAGAAGAGCTGATTGGAAGGTTCTCTCTAGGGCTACAACCTTGACAGTTAAGGAAAATCTACCTTTCTTGAACTTAGCCGTTTCCACCGCTGCTTGTACTTTCTCTGGATTGTCATTTTTGTATTTATACACGCATGTTCTTCTTCTCTCTCCCCTCACCACAAATGGAGATGTTCTTCACTGCTTTTGAGTAATATATCCTAAGGAACTTGAAGGCTATGCCACTGTGAGTGTTTTAGAGAAAAGAAACCAATGCCTTTTCTGGTGGAACTAATTTCCTTGTGTTCTTGCCTGGCCTACAGGCTATTATTCATCAGCTAGGTAGCAGAGATAGAATTTTCCAGATAAGTAATTTTCCCATCTGAGAGAACAAATAAACAATCTCGCAAGTTCATCTAACTTTTCTACTGCTATGCTTGTGTCTTTCAGAAGATCGTGAAGGAAGGACAGCTGCTTAAGAACTGTAACTCCTTCAAGAGATGGAAGCTAAGATATTGTATGATTCAAGGACAGAAGCTCCTCTTTGCACACCACCCTTCGGTAATTATAGAATCCTTTCATCTGCATTAGTGGCTGGGTGCCAAGGAATGTGTGAGTGCGGAGAAGGTCATCAATAAAGGAGAAGTTGAAAGCATCTATTCTTCCTGTAACTAATCCCTTTGGACCAAATGAGTGGTGTATTTTTCCTTTCCCCGTTCCTATGGCTCTTCATTTTCGTGGATTCCCCAGTTATTTTCTGTTTTGCTCTGTTTTTGTTTTTTCAAGGCAAGGTTTCTCTGTAGCTTTGGAGCCTATCCTGGAACTAGCTCTGTAGACCAGGCTGGCCTCGAACTCACAGAGATCTGCCTGCCTCTGCCTCCTGAGTGCTGGGATTAAAGGCATGCGCCACCACCGCCCGGCCCTGGTTAGTTTCTGTATGCAGAGTGGCCTACAAAATTTGTGGGGCCCAGTGCAAAATGAAAATGCAGAACCCTTTACTCAAAAACCAGGAAAAATATCATTAATGGTACTAACACAAAATGTTTCATATTTATACTAAAATATAAAGCATTGGCTTATGGTGTTTTATTTTGGGATTTAATGTTATTCTAGAAGATAATTTGTATAAAGCTTGCCATTTAATTTTCTTTTGCACCATTCCAGTTTTAAAATGTAAATATAAGAGCATTTAACTTATAAAAAGAACCACCATCATTATATAATTGTGTTAGTAGCTCTTACATTCATGTATATTTTGTTTCCAGCAGTATACAAAACTAGCTCTTTCTTTTTTAATTTTTTATATGTTCACATTCTGCCAACACTTTCTGAGTAAATGGAAAAGGCACAGTGGTTTGCCCCCAGCTTTCCTAGTCCTTCAGTGCCATCCTTTTCAGCATTAATGGTTGCATAATACAAGGACAGATGAGGAATAAGAATGAATAGAATAGGGCTCCTCAGTTGCTTGTTTCTAAAAAAAAAAAAAAAAAAAAAAAAAAAAAAACCACTGCGTTTGATTTGTGTTTGTAGCAAGTCGTGGCTCCAACAGAACGTGTAGACTAGCAATACCCACAACTGCTCAGTCATAGACATAGCATACTTTGTACTTGCCTTACCACCATGATGGGATTCACTGGAATTCTAAGTGCAGACATATGATAATACAAAACAGGAGTGAACGTGCAGGTGACATAGGCTTCCTGTATTCATGTCACAGCCCATGGTCTTATTGGGCTTTATTTACAAAACACAAACCCCAAACTCAAATGATCAGGGATTTAAAGGTGGCGATAGCAAAGCTTTAGACCAAATCCTAGGCTGTTCTGAGCATGGAGTCTTATATGCCAACACAGGTTACATAGTGGTCAACTAGCCTTGTCTGTATTGACGGTACTGATGCTCTGCTGCTAGCTGAGCACTCTCTACCGCATCAGATCTACCAGGAGACACAGGCTCCAGACTGGCTATGACAAGGACATAGTCAAAGGTTGCCACCCAATAAATTAGGGCTTGATAATACTTATACTGCAAATTGCCCAGGCAGGGTGTATTTTGTTATCTTATCCAGCACTAAGTTTATATTTGGGCAAGTCTGCTGAGCAACCCAAGCCTTGCTCCAAGTCTACCGAAAAGTTTTTGGAAAGTTGTGTTTCTATTTCATTTGTTTTATACTTGCCACATGCCCTGTCTACAGAAATCATGTGCCTATATAAATCTTAGCCCTCAAGACAAACAAATGGTTAGATCGTAACTGCCAAGAATGTTTGTCAGTGTATGTGTGTGTGTGTGTGTACCTTTTAATGTCTGTTTGCCTAATTAGTCAGATGGCTTCTTACCGTTCTCCTTCTCTATCTTCCAGTTTGCGCACTTTGAAACAATTGATCTGTCACAAGTTGTCTTGGCAGAAAGCAGCTGGAGAAATCTTGACCACGGTTTCTGTGTAAGTAAGATGGAGAATGGCTGGCTGTGCACGGGCGGGGCTAGCTAACAAATAGCATTGTTCTATCTGTTTGTTCCATTTTGGGGAACATTAGGGTTAACAAGTCTTCTTTGATTGCAAAATGTTATTATTTATACAAATTTCCGCTAGCCTAATGATGGCGAGGACAGTGAGTACTAACCATGCTCTCCATTAAAGGCTGCTAGAAAGCCAAGCTGACTTCAAGGGACAAGGGGCCTTTGACTACTATGGCATTCAATCAGTCTTCTTGGTAAAGGTGGTTTAGAAGTATCATTGGGGGGAGTTTCGAGAGACTGATAAGCCATAGGAAAAAAATAGAATAACCAAGGTGCATGACATAATTTCCCCTGGCACGGTAGGTCATCCGCAGTAAAATCTAGTCCATGGTGAGGTTACGGATGAGAGTCGTTCTAAGAAAGCAGAAGTTTTCACGGCTTAGTGTCCCTGAGCCGTTGTACCGCTTTGGTCATTCACGTATATCTAAACCAGAATAATCACTTCAAAGCATCAAGTCCACTAGCCCTGAATGCTCCTTCCCACGGTCTCCAAAATTGTTTTTGCCAGCCCCATCAGTTGGTTCCATTAGGGTTCAGCTTGAGGCTAGGCTATCCTTTATCTTAGTGAAAGTACAGGGCTGCTGCACAGCAGATCAACTAAGAATTGGATTGAAAACAAAGAGTGACTGAGGTTATTCATTGTCCTAACCAGTTCCTATGCCTATCTGCCGCAAAATCTAGCACTACCTGCAAAAGGAGACCAAAATTGCATGTTAGTATGGTTATCGCTAGCATCAGTTTGAGGCATTCATCATAAAATAACAAGCAGAGCCCCTGAAGCGATGACTGACATGATAGCCAATTGTATTCTCTCTTACTATCTGCAAAAAATACAACTTCTGCTTCTGGCTGCATCATTAAGACCTTCAGAACTGAAGCAGTGAGGTGGCTCACCAGGCAAAAGAGTTTGCCATGCAAGCTCAATGATCTGAACTCAATCCCTGGATCCTGTCTAGGAAGGAGAGAACCAACTCCTAAAAATTGGCCTTCACACATGGTCTTTGCCACATATACACCTACACTCACATACATACATGTGCGCATCATTCACACACACAATGATAGATAGATAGATAGGTAGAAAGATAGATAGATAGATAGATAGATAGATAGATAGATAGATAGATACGTAGGTAAATAGATAAAATATGACCTTCAGTGTGGCTTTGATACTATTCCTGGCAAGGTTCTTCCACTTATTTCTCCCTGCCAATGATAAAGAAAGAAGCTGGATTTTTTTTTTGACATCTGGTATGGCACACAAACAGCAAGAGAGGGACTCTATTGAAGTAAATACACTTTCCCTACTTTCCATAGAACAGCAGTGAGCAAGTAAACACTTTAGGCAAGCTCCTTTGAGAAATGGATGACCTGTAGCTTAGTGTTTAAGAGCATGGACTCAAGAGTCAAAGAATCTGCTTTCATTTTTTAACTTCTGGATGACTTTAGTTATTTAACTGCCCTTCTCTTCGTTTTCCTAGCCACAAAAGGGGAACAAATGCAATGTCCATCTCATGGGACTATAATAAAGACTGAAAGAATATTCCTAAAAACGCATCAGAATAGTGTTTGGCACACATGAGGTGGCAATAAAATATTGATTATTACTATTTTAATTATTACTGTCTTGAATAGCTCTGAGAGCAGCTGAGGGTGGCTCTGGAAACTTAGGTCTTATATTCAAGCAGTGGCTGGGAATATACTTGGTACCTATGTCTAATTTTGTGGAGAATTGGCAGACTCAGGGCAGGGACCTTTGTTGGTGAAAAGCAACTAATAACATGATGTTTTGTTTAGATTATCACACCAGATCGAAAAATCTCCTTGGTTGCACCCAGTCGGAAAGACATGGAAGACTGGATTAACGTCATAAAAACTGTCCAGCAGGGAGAGACCCAGAAGGTAAGGCAACTGGTGGCGAATACACACGGCTCTGGGCAGAGTGTGTAGTCTCAAGGGAATACATTAGGGAAGTCGGTTCTCAAGCACAGACCTGCTCAACTGGGAGCAGAGACTGGCCAGCCGGGAAGTAGATAGACATCATTTGGAAACCTGTTGAGAACTCCTCACACAAATAGGAAAAATTCAGTTGGGCTGAGACTCTGGTAAGCATGTAGCTTAGACTCCTCTGTATTGCTAGATATGTCATGTTACATCCAGTAAATGAAGTCCATGACATGTATTTATGCAGTTAACTTAAATGTCCCATAATTGTTAAGAAAGTTGCAATTAGCAGTTTTAATTCCTGTCTTCAGAAGAATAATAATAACACTTCAGGAAAGTGAAGCTGAGAAAGAGGAAGGAGTCAGATCAGGAGAAATAAGCACTCTATTTAAAAAGAACTCCAGGCTATGTAATCAGCCCACCTCTGTTTCTGTTTTCTATCTATCACAAAAGAAATGTAGAAGTCAGGAGAAGAAGCTTATCCCCCACAGCTCATCAGGGGCCTTTTTCTCCTTCACTGTCTCTAAAATAATCAGGGCTACTATGCAGACTGTGAGATCTGGCCTTGGCTAGCCCTTCTGTAATTCTACCATAATTCTAATCTATGGGCGTTGCATGATGGAAAGGATCTTATTTACTTAGAAAAATGTCTATATTATAGAGACGCCAAGTAAAATTTTTGGATAAATATTACTGTAAATCGAAGGGAAATTTTGAAGTCAGTTTTGAGTGCGATTGATACAAAGTCCATCCATCCTAAAGCAAGATTCTTCTCTGAAAGTCATAGCAATAGAGGAGCAAAATGAATATAGCCTTTAAAAAATCTTCAGTAGCCAGGCGGTGGTGGCGCACGCCTTTAATCCCAGCACTCGGGAGGCAGAGGCAGGCGGATCTCTGTGAGTTCGAGACCAGCCTGGTCTACAAGAGCTAGTTTCAGGACAGGCTCCAAAACCACAGAGAAACCCTGTCTCGAAAAACCAAAAAAAAAAAAAAAATCTTCAG